CGGCCCCCGGGGGGCGCCCTACCGGGCCCGGCCTGCGGGGGGCGCCCTACTTGGCCGTGGCGAAGCCGACCCGGTTGCTGTCCCGGTCGAACACGGTGTAGTAGGGCCCGATGAACACGTCCCCCAGGATCCACAGCGGGCCGGCCGGGGGGGGGATGTCCAGCCCCATGAAGCCGCTCAGGCAGATGGTCTTCCCCGCCTGGGCCACCTGGGGAGGGAACGGCTCAGTCAGCCCTCTGAGGCCCCCTGCTGGCCGGAGGCCGGACTGCAGCAGGACCTCTACATTCAGACCAGTTTTACTGCATAGGGAGGGAAACTAGGGACTCCCAACCTAAAGTAAAGATTTAAGTATTTGATTTAAGTATTTATTTATGCAGATTCAGGGAGTAACTTCCACCCTTTTTGTTAGTCCCAGAGGTTTCTGTGACCAGTCCAGCTGCTGTCCTCCCACATATTTAGCATTTATTTCTGTAAAATCTGGTAAAACAGGAAATAAAAGCCTCATTCTGGAGGAAACAAGCAGGAAATCTGAATTATTTGGACAATAGTTTGGATCAGAGGCTGAGATTTTAGCTTCAGATATGGATTTTTGTCATTTACCATGATGATAAACTTAGATTTAAGTATTTATTTATGCAGATTCTGGGATAACTTCCACCTTTTTTGTTAGTCTCAGAGGTTTTTTTATGACCAGTGTTTCTGTACTGTCTCTGGCGCCCCCTGCTGGCTGCTGGCTCACCTTGAGGATGTACTGCTCCCCGGTCAGGCTGTAGCTCTGCCCCCCCAGGTTGAAGGTGATGACGGGCAGCGTGGGGATCTTATCACAGCTCACCATGTACTGAAACACAGCCCAGAGTCACCACAACACACACACATTTAAACCACCAGAACACACACACACACACACACACACACACACACACACACACATTTAAACCACCACAACAACACACACACACAGATTTAGACCACCAGAACAGCACACACACACACATTTAGACCACCAGAACAGCACACACACACACATTTAGACCACCACAACAGCACACACACATACATTTAGACCACCAGAAAACACACACACACACAGATTTAGACCACCAGAACACACATTTAAACCACCACAACAGCACACACACATTTAAACCACCA